AAGCTGACGGAGTTGTTAAAGTGGTATGCGGTTACCTTTAAAGATCCCATGATGCTGGAGCCTCCTGCATGGTTTAAGTCATGTATCTATTGTGAAGCCTTCTTACAAATGCCTTTCTTTCCCATTGCAGCCTATGCATTCTTCAAAGGTTGGTACAGCAGGAACAACAGAACAATACTGTGAATGCAATCCTGTTGCAAATAGTCATGTTATGTGGCACAGAACGTTTATTCTGTACATTTACGCCGTTACAAAATACATCCTGTATGGGCCCTGGCTTTTCACTACAGGTTGAACCTCTCTGCTCGGGCACACTCCAGACCTGACCGTGCTGAACCAGGGAATTTGCCAAACCATAGGAGATCAATATTGTCTAGCACAGGGGTGGGCAATAATTTCTGAAGGGGAGCCACTTCAAAAATTTGTGAAGTGGTTGCGGGCCGTCCAGGAAGGGGCGGGGCCTTGGGTGGAAGAGGCGGAGCCTTTAAATAGCAGACGTTAAAAGGGCTCGCACTTCTTCCGCTGCTCACAAGCATCATGTTAGCGGGGGTGGGAGCTGCAAGCCCTTTCAACGCCTGCTATTTAAAGGGTTCGCTGCTCCCAGCCTCGCTGCTAACGTGTGGCCAGGGAGCTGGGGCTGCGCGAGACCTTTCAACTGCATCTATTTAAACGGCTCGCACCTTTCGCGGCTGCCATTTTCAGGCGGCCACGGGGAAGGTGCCTGGCTCCCAGACAAAGCGCTAGGGGCGGGGTCAGGAACTGCCGGGTGGATCAGATAAGAGCTAGGTAGGCCAGATCCGGCCCACGGACAGGCTCTTGCCCACTCTGGGCTAGCAGCATCGCCAACACTCCCACTGCTTCCTGGTCTCTTAGAAGACATTTCGGGGTAAATTAGAGCTCAAGAACAGCACAGAACACCGAGCCAGGACTGGTGTCTACAAACAAACTGAATGGGACCGTGGAGAACTTGGCCACACCCATGATAAAGTGGACAGCCAGCTCACTGAAATCATGCCGGACCACAGATGTTGCCGGACCAGAGAGGTTCAACATGTAGGCTTTTTGCCTAAGTAAGGAGTGTCTAATAGAGCCTATAGGAATGTTAATTAAAATAAAAACAGGACAAAATATTCTTTCACTGATGCTTATCAAAACTGGCAGAATATACTTTTCCACATCAGAGACCTTTTTTTAAACCAAATATCCTATGTGTCTAAGTAATGCAGCCCAGTGACGGCTGCATTTTAATTCCAGGCTCTGCCACTGACTTCTTGTATGACCTTGGACAAGTCATTCAACTACTCATCATCCTCTACATTTTGATGGGCATATTTTATCCATTTGCTTTGATGTGATGTCCCAGGACTCTTGTCTTTCTGAGCTTCTGTTTGACATGCCTTGTGTTGCCACTCTTCCATTTAAAAAAAACCAGATTAGTGTTCCTGCTACCATATATTCCTTGCAACTGAGGTTTGTGCAGTCTAGGTTAATTTTCTGGTAATACCTCCCTCTTTTATAGCCGCTTTCATAGGTAGATCTCAATGTACTTTCACCCTCTTTAAAGTATTTATCCTATCACTGTTGAATGCAGCCTTCTGAATTGGAACCTTCAAACAAATGTTGTTTATGCTTTTTTTTTCTGGCTCAAATACAGGTGGCTGCAAATGGATACGGACTCCAGCAATTATCTACTCCACTCACGTAGCTACAACCCTGGTTCCTATCCTTGCACACATCCTGTTTCATGATTTCGCAGCATCCAAGCATTTATCCTATCACTGTTGAATGCAGCCTTCTGAATTGGAACCTTCAAACAAATGTTGTTTATGCTTTTTTTTTCTGGCTCAAATACAGGTGGCTGCAAATGGATACGGACTCCAGCAATTATCTACTCCACTCACGTAGCTACAACCCTGGTTCCTATCCTTGCACACATCCTGTTTCATGATTTCGCAGCATCCAAGCA